GATGTATTAACAGGTTAGTTGGGAGCTAGGCACGAGAAGTCATGTGTTTGCTCTACTTTGCTCTGGTTAGGCCTCAGCTGGAGTATTGTGTCCAGTTCTGGGCACCGCATTTCAAGAAAGATGTGGAGAAATTGGAAAGGGTCCAGAGAAGAGCAACAAGAATGATTAAAGGTCTTGAGAATATGACCTATGAAGGAAGGCTGAAGGAATTGGGTTTGTTTAGTTTGGAAAAGAGAAGACTGAGAGGGGACATGATAGCAGTTTTCAGGTGTCTAAAAGGGTGTCATAAGGAGGAGGGAGAAAACTTGTTCACCTTAGCCTCTAAGGATAGAACAAGAAGCAATGGGCTTTAAACTGCAGCAAGGGAGGTCTAGGTTGGACATTAGGAAAAAGTTCCTAACTGTCAGGGTGGTTAAACACTGGAATAAATTGCCTAGGGAGGTTGTGAAATCTCCATCTCTGGAGATATTTAAGAGTAGGTTAGATAAATGTCTATCAGGGATGGTCTAGACAGTATTTGGTCCTACCATGTGGGCAGGGGACTGGACTCGATGACCTCTCGAGGTCCCTTCCAGTCCTAGAATCTATGAATCTAATGGCAGCTGAAAGAACTTAACACAGGGCCTTAACCATGGCAACTCAGATATTGTGACTGTGGCAAATTTTGACCCCGGCTCCAGTAGGTTCTCAAACTGGGAGGGCATGGAATGTATTCCGGGAAACGGGGGTGAGAAGCTTTAGGAGAGCAGTGACTGGTGGCTGGGCATCCAGCTCTGAAGGCAGTGGAGAAATAAGGGTGGCATGGTATGGTATTGCCATCCTTACTTCTGCTCTGCTGCTGGTGGTGGTGCTGCCTGCAGAGCTAGACGCCCCGCCACTGCTCCCCGCTCTGCCTTCAGAGCTAAGGTGGCCATATATGTACTTGTGGGCCAGGAGCAGGGCACGGGGGGTTGTAAACTACTACAGACACAAAGAAGGGGGGTGCAATCAAATAAGTTTGAGAACCACTGGCTTATAGGACCTATAAATGAGTCACAAAGGGCTGGGGAAAATTTCCGCAGCATGGAAACAGAGTAGGGCCGATGTAAGCAGCTCTATACTCAGGGCCAGTGCAAGGAAGTTTCACGCCCTAGGCGAAACTTCCACCTTGTGCCCCCCCCAGCCCTGCGGCAGCTCCCCGCCCCCTCTTCTGCCCTGAGGTGCCCCCCCACAGCAGCTCCCCCCCTCTGCCCTGAGGTGCCTCCCCCTGTGGGGAGCCGTGC